GGTGCCAGCAGTGCCCAGGAGGAACACTTTGCAACCAGACGAAGCTGGCTGGCCCCACGGCGTGTCCACCCGGGCACTACTGCCCAGCCCGGGGCCTGCTGTCCATCCCCTGCCCGGTGGTGAGACGCTCCCCTCAGCCTTCTGGCATCTGTTCACTTCTGCATGGGAAGGCTCTGGAGCCACCAGCCCTGTACTGGTGGTTGGGATGGGTGACATCTCTTCACTGTGACATGACTACATGCCGGCCCTCTGCCTCTGGTCCCCATTCAGAGGACGGCCCAACCACTCACTTTCCCGCAGCTGGTTTCTGAGAGTGGTGCTAGAGCAGAATGCCACAAGGTGCAAAGTGACCCAGGGTGTAGAGGTGGGAGGGAAGCCAGGAGGAGGAGGGAGGGGCTGGGGAGCTGGAGAGGAGGCTCAGGAGGGGCTCCCAGCAGGGGCGCAGCAGCCTTGGATCTGCAGCCTCCGGGAGCCCCTCTCTCTCCACTCCCCCACAAGCCAGGGAGAGCCTCCTCTCCCAGAGATACACACCCCTCTTCAGATGACCTGGTGTCCTCTACTCTCTCTTCCGGCCTGCTATCAAAATCTGCTGTGAGTTCTGGTTACAACATTCCCTTCTGGGTGGGTGTTTTGCTGCCAAACACTTTTGGTCTCTCGAAAAGTAAACACCGCCGTTCTTGCAAGTGCCGTGGGGGCTCAGTCCTTGCGCAGGCTGTCCCCTCCCTGCAGCCCTGTCTGTCCGGGGCACAGCGGGAGGGCCTGCCTGCTCCTTTCCTGGCAGAGCAGCCTGTCTGTCCAGGCCTGGAGCCCTCATTCTGGCCTCCAGGACCCTGACCTTGGCGGTGTCCTTTTCTCTGCCCAGGGCACTTTCAGAGAGGCCCCTGGGGCCGCCCACGTGGAAGACTGCCAGCCGTGCCACCCTGGGGCTTTCTGTGGCAGAGCCGGCCTGGCCAAGCCCCAGGGGCTGTGCCTTCCTGGCCATCACTGTGGGCCTGGTTCTAACATCTCCACCCCGGGGAGTTCAGGCCCCACTGGGCCTCCTAGAGGCAAGGCTGGCCTCGGCACAGAGGCCTGGGCTGGGGTCAGGGGAACATACCAGAAGGTGAAGGCCCAGCTCCTGCCCTCTGGGGCTCACTGCCCAAGGGTGACAGGGAGCTCCCACTGAAGATAGGATGACACTACTGCAGGGGCAGAGCTGGAGGAACCTCAGCCATCAAACAGGGCCATGAAAACACGAGACAGTAAGGAAAGCGCCAAAGTTCTAATGTCAGCTTCCGGCTCCCACCTGAAAAAGGACCAAACACAAATCTGCTATCACTAGGAAAAGGCGCAGCCGGGCTGGCAAGGAAGGACATGTGAAGCGAAGCCACTTTTGTGTGACGTGCACCTACTCATTACTGAAAGTAAACGCAACTGCGGAAGCCCTGGCAAGGCACCGCTGTGGACAGGGCCTCTCCCCCACTGCCCTGCCCAGGGCTGCTGGACTCAGTCGGCAGATGCAGCAGGAGCTGCCAGGCAGTTCCCACCCTGTGATCCAATGATTCCTGGAGAGAACCTGAGGGGGGAAAGAAAGTCATTTACGTAAAGATGTTCAAAACACCACAGATTTTTAACACAAAAACAAAACAAAAACACCAAACACCACAGAGGCCCCGTAATAGGAAAATATCTAGGCAGAGATATGGCATATCAACCCAATGGGACACCAGGTATCTATTATCGTAAGTGGGTCTACTGTCCTGACACAGAGGACTGAAGGGGTGGCCAGTAGTGAGAAAGAGAAGCTGGATGGGTAGGTAGGTAGATGGCTGGGTGGATGATAGACAGATGGACTTCGCCGCAGCTGAAGCTGCGTACCAGAGCTGTTAGCAGATAGGCAGAGAGTCGGGACTGTTTAGGGTATTTAACATTAAAATTTGTTTCATTTTTCTGAAACGTTAAACTCCCAGAGCGGTCCCCAGAGGGAGGTGTCAGTGCAGATCAGTGCATGTAAGCGAACAGGAGAGGCCGGGCTGAGCCAGGCGGCCTCCGCACAGGGGCTTCAGGGAGGAACCCGGTCAAGAGAACTCCCTCGCTCTTGACACTTAAGCGTCAACAGGCCCCTCTTCCTCCAGGAGGGACTCCCCTTTGGTGACCTCTGCCCTCTCGGTCATTTTTGCCCCGCTGGCACCCAGGACCCCAGGCAGTGGCCCTGCCCTGTTGGCACGTGGAACGCAGAGAGAGGGGCACCAGATGTGAGCTGGTGCCTGCCCTGCCCACCTGGGCTCTTCTGTGCTGCAGTGGGCCAGGCTGCAACTGGGGGCCCATGCGCACCAGGTAAGGGCACCTGTGCCTCCCGCGATGGCCTGACAGGAGACCACCAAGCACGGCACAACCAGGCCTGCCACGCCGGCATGGGCCCGGGACCCTCAGCCCCTGAGCATCAGCCCCTGAGTCAGAGAGCCCAGGGGAAGTGTGCCAGGGCTGTGAGGCTAGTCTGGGCTGGATAGGAGGGAGGCAGGCCGGAGGCTCCTGGCTCAGGCTCCTAAATGGGGGGGTGCACAAGCCATTTGGATTATCCCAGCCCCTGAAGAGAGGGGCCCTTCTCCTCAAGAGATAGCACTGCTTCAAAGGTGACTGGGACAATACTGTGACTGCACCCAAGGGCCTCCAGGATGCTGGTGGCACACACATGTTTGAAGACGTGGCCTTAAAGGGGCCTAAATTATCAGCTCATCGGGGACGCCCACAGAGTCTGTTCCATCAAAGCTGTTATTGGTGTGGCAGGACCCTCAGGGACAAGGGAGGCAAGCAGCTGGGCTCCAGCCCCAAAAAGCAGACCAGTCTGAGTCTTTCTCTGCTTCCAGGATTCTATTGCCCAGGAGGAGCCCGGACCCCAAGACCCGTCAGTGGGCCCTGGGGAGACCTTGGCCCTGAGGGCCATGCCTGCACTCAAGGTTCACTGGTGGCTGTGCCGCGACCGGCCGGGCAGCACGGCAATGGCTCAGGTACTTGGGCTGGCTCCAAGAGCAGAGCAGAGTTGCTGTGGAAACCATCTACAGATGGGGTGAGCAGGGCCACCCCCAGAAAGCCACTGTGCTTTCTGGGCCAAGCCTCTATCTCCTGCAGGTGAGGAGACAGCGGGCACATGGTGGCTCTCCTGGGGAGACAGGTCAAGGCCATGTCTTGGGGCCTGAGGGGCAACAGCTCCCTAGTGACCTCCTCCGCCTGCCGGCCCAGCGCCTGGGAGGCCCTGTGGATGGTGGCTAAGGACAGGGCTTTTGGACTGGGCAGAAGCCCAGGGGCACCACTCCTTCCCGGGAGGAATCGCCAACTCAGGTTCCCCTGTGCCTGACAGGAATACTAAGAGTCCAGGAACGTGTGGTGCTGAGGGAAAATCAAGTCAGCACCGCCAGGAAAGGCCAGGGGATAAACACCACCCTGACGGGGGCTGGGAGGGGCCCTAACACGGGAGAGCAGGTTCCGCCAGGAGACAAGGGGCTCAGCGCCGCTGGCCCAGAAGCGGGAGGGTGGGACCGGCCTCCTGCGGGGAGGGCTGAGCAGGGGTCCCTCGGCAGCCCTGTCCCCATCCGTCCTGGGAGAGTCGGGGCACCGTGGGCCTCCGCAGCCACGCTGTCTCCCCTGGTCGGCAGGAGCAGACCTTCTGGGGGTGAGCTGTGCGGTGCGCAGCTGAACAAGGGGGCTCCTGTGAGCAGGCGTCACAGAACTTCGGGCTGGAGGAGCCTCAGGGAACAGGACTTCCCACCATGTCCTTCTTCCAATGACCAGACTGGGCATGGCTGGTGGAGCTACCCCACCCAGGCCCGCCGAGGTCCCGTGTCTCCTGAGGCCCTGCGTGTGTGACCTCAGGGCCACTCCTGCAGGGTCTCTGTGGATGGGGCTGGGACGCAGCTCACGTGTGGAGCTCCGGGACTGCCCCGTGGGGCGAACGCCAGCCCAAAGCCGCTGCCAGGCGGCACATCTGCTCCTCTGACAGGTTCAGGACACACCAGGGATGAGGTTGTTGGGCCCGGCCCCCTCCCAGCCCTCCCATGTCCCAAGAGGGCCCGTAAAGTGAGGTGAACTCTCACCCCTCCCTTGTCACATCAGTGTCCTTAGGGCTGTGGAGATGACTTTGACGCAAACTGCAAGATCACAGACGTTTAAAGATGCGTCACTCTGCCCTCGTCTTCCCGTCTCCATAGTCTGCTTAGGAGGGGCAACATGCATTTGCGCGGGGCACCACACATGTCCTAGGCTCGCACCTGCGTACGTGTGCGCGCACGTGCTTCCACAGACGGGTCAGCCCGTTTGGGGGCAGTCACAAAAATGGGATCACACACTCCTCTCTCTTTTCTCTTCCCAGACAAAGCACTTGTCCTTAGAGCTTATTATCAGTATCATTATGTGCCCCATCTCATCCCAAAAGGGTTTCAGCAAACTGTAAGGGGACCTGACAGCAGAAATAAAAATGACAGACTTGGCCAAGATAGGAACAGGTTTCCAAAACAAACATTGTGGGGGCCTGCATTTGACCTCCAGACTCTCCTGTTCTGCCCTGTACCCAGATAGGCCAAATGCTGGCACCCCTGTACTTTCTCCCCACCTTTGGGGTCCTAAGGCCCACTCAGATAACCTCTAATTAATTCAGACGGGGACCCATCTCAGGGTCCACCCTGCACCTGGAGCCCCACCCAAAGTCCCTTGGAGGTGAGGATTGGGTGGCACCCTGGACTTGAGCGCCACCCTGGCAGTGGAGGGTGCTGTCACTCCAGTTTTCAATCTCCAGGAAACGTCCTGTGGTTGAGGGGGGTCGAGGTGGGGGCTTTGGGCTGAGGAGGAGTTGCTCTGTGACCTCACCCCCTCCTGACTTTGGGCAGGAGCTGATGTCACCCACTCCCATGGAGCCTTTTGTGGCACGGCAGGGGGGCCCTGCCCTCCAGGCCACTTCTGTCCAGAGGGCACGGGGGTGCCCCTGCCCTGCCCTGTGGGCACCTTCTCAGATCGGTGAGTGCCACTGCCCCAGGTCCAAGGGGCAGTCTTCCTGGTCTTCCTTCCCACAGTGACCATCTATCTGTCTCACCAATGATGTCCCTCCGCCATGGAGGAACATGGACCTCAGAGAGCAGGACTTCTGCCTGGCCTCCAAGGGCAGGAACCCCCTGAGCAGCAGCGGAGGGACGGGGAGCACGATGGTCAGAATCAGGGCAGACGGTGCTGGCTGCTGGCCGCTTGAGAACGTGTCAGGCCTGAGGAGCAAACCAGGAAGAAGCCTGTGTGTCTGCCTGCACCTCATTTGAGAGTAGAGCCCCATCTCCCACCTTTAGGAACTGCCCAACCCCCAAGCAAGGGCACCGCAGAATGAGGCAGCTGAGGAACCCGTGGCTGAAAGGCTGCTGGACATTCTGACTGCAGCTGCCAGACCAGGGGTCTGCGGCCCTGGACAGCCTGACTCTGAACTGGGGATTAAGATGACAAGGAAACTAACCAGGAGCCTATCTTAGGAGAGAGAGACCCAGCACACCCAGACGCCACCTTGGACCGCGCATGGGAGCGCGAGGAAGCCCAGGGAGCCTCAACAAGGAGAAATGAGAAGGCAGCCCCAGAAGGGCGGGTCTCTCGCCGGGACATAGCCTCTCTACCCTAAGGGCCTCCTTTCCCACTGACCCGCACTCGCTCTCTGTGTCCCAGGATGCTTCTCTCCACGGCCTCAGAGTGCCTACCCTGCCCCTCTGGCCATTTCTGTGGTGTGTCTGGCCTTGCTGCCCCCTCTGCACCCTGCTCCCCTGGCTACTTCTGTCTGGTGGCAGTCTCTTCCCCAACCCCAACAGGTAAGGCCTCTCAGGACAGGAGTGGGCCCTGCATTGGCCAGAGGCCGGAGGTAGACGGGCACTTGGATGATGGGAAGTGACTGAGTATGGGGTGGTCTCAGGACAGAGGGGAAGCACGTGGGCAAGGGGGCCTAGAGGTGACCCTTAGCCAGAGTGTTTAGTGGTCTGGCCGCTATTCCTGGACCCATTGGCCCCCATCCTCAGGCCTCCACATGGCTGCTCACAGCGTGACCCCCTGCCCTCCTGCCCTGCAGTTATCGGGCTCTTGTCACACCAGCAGCTCCCACCCCGTCCATCCTGAATCAGAGCTGCACTGGCTTCAAGATGGGACATCACAGACTGGCAGGGAGGTGGGCAGGGAGGCCCGGGGGTCTTCCAGAGACCAGTCAGCAGGTACCAGAATGGTGCCCAGTGGGCCAGCCAGAAGTGAGCTGAGTGTGAACCTCGTCTCCCTTGGGGGCAGGGACAACAGCTTGTGGGGAGGCGGGGTGCAAGAAGAGGCTCACAGGGCAGAGCCTCTGTGTGCCCAGCAAGGCACAGGTGGGGCGGAGGGCCGTCCAGGATGTCTGGCTCCCTCTAGTGGCTGCTGACCTTTCCCCAGAGGGTGCTCGCATTTCCTGGGGAACATCTGATGAGGGGCACACAGCACTGAGCTCTGGTGAGGGCGTTGAACCTGGGCCAGGGCCCTTAAAATCCCTCTTCTTGAACACTTTCATTTGTCCAGCAAACATCAGGCAAAAGTCTAGCTCCAGACGGCAGGTTAAGTTCTGGGGAGTCAGGAGGGAAGCAAGGGAGCAGGAGTCACATCCCCAGCGAGGGACTGGGGGTATGCAGGGGGCAGAAGGGGCTGCTCAGCCAGGGCCATCCACCAAAAACAGAACCGACTATCCTGGCTTACTACAACCACATGTGAAAGCAGCGCTCTCTGAACATGTTTTATTAAAAAAATAAATGATCACAGAGCGTGCCCTTGAGAGAGCGCCAGGGGACTGTCAGACACCAGCTGAGTCTGGGCACAGAGAGTCACTGGGCATAACGTCACCCCAGTAAAAGTGGGTGCTTATTCCTGCCCAGCTGCCAAAGAGGGCTTCTGGGAGGCTCAGACGATACAACGTGGTTTTGATCTGGAAGGTGCTATACAACCATTAGTTACCAGAATTCTTTCTAAAACACTCGAACCTCTGACCCAGACCCAAGCCCGCATTTGGTCCCAGTAGTGCCACACCAGTCGGCCCAGGCTGCTCACACTCCCCTGTGATGGGGCCTGAACCCCTCACTCAGCTTCCTTCCTCTCCTCAGGCCACTCAGAGAAGGGGGGCCCCTGTCCCCGAGGTCACTTATGCCCCAGGGGGACCAGCCTCTCCCAGCCTTGCCCTGCTGGCTCCTACAGCAACCTGACTGGCCAAGCCTCCTGCTTCCCCTGCCCCGCCGGCTACTACTGCCCTGAGAGTGTCAGCACCTACCACGAGCACCCCTGCCCTGCCGGCTTCTTTTGCCCCAGAGGTGAGTGCCTGCGTTCAGCTCCCAGGGGCCAGGCTGGACAGTGGGGCTGATACAGGTGCCCTAGGCTCGGCCGGGGGCTGTGTACTCGCCACTCTGCCAACTGTGCCAACCGAGGAGCACACGTACATCCTCTGCTGCCGAGGCTTTCCCAGCCCCGTCCCACAGGCCCAGGGGAGGACCAGCCCTCACAGGGGCAGAGCCCAAAGCAGCTGGCTTTGAGCAGTGAAGTTCATCCAAGTCCTTGGCTTTTATCTTTAAAATTCCTGAGAGTTTTACTTTCTACTCCATACTACATCCACGCTGGCTAAAAATTAAAGAGTTAAAATTACTTGACCACTGCATTACAAATTTTGGGCCCATGCCTTTTGGTAAAGTTGACCACCAGGAAGATGAGTCCTGCATATTCTGTGGCTTTGTGGACCCAGGCCTGGAGCCACACAGGCCGGGAAATCCGGTGAAAGCAATTGGTGAGGTGTCGCTCCCGAGGCTGAGGTCAGGAGTTTGCCAGGACAGGTCCTGCAAGAGGGTATGGGAGCAGCGAGCTGCACGGCCTCCAGCCCCAACCCCGGGCCCAGCTGGACTCCAGCAGGCTGGGCTCCCTCCTCTGAACTTTGCTTCTCAGGCACCAAGTACGCCACCCAGTTCCCCTGCCCTCGGGGCTACTACAACCCAGACCCACTGACGCAGAGCCTGGACAGCTGTCTGCCCTGCCCGCCAGGCCACTACTGCGGCCAGGAGAACCTGACCCAGGCCTCTGGGCCCTGTGATGCAGGTGCGTGTCCCTATTCTTGCGCTTCCCACTTATGTCCCCAGACCTGGCATGACGCAGACTATCTCCTGGAGCAGCTACTGGAAGGGGTGGGCCAGCAGCCAGGGTGAGCCCAGCCTCTGACCCCCCGGGATCACTCCCAGCACTCCCGCCCCACCGCCTACCCCGCCCTGCTCATTCCCACCCCAGGCTGGTTCTGCGTGTCAACAGCATGGACCGCTCGTCCCTTCGACCTGGACAACTACACCAGCACCAATTGCCTGTGCCCGGCCGCGGCCACAGCGGGGAAGTGCCTGGCAGGCTCCTTCTGCCCCGAGGGCAGCCCGGAGCCCAGACCCTGCCTGCCGGGCTCTTTCTGCGCCACCTCCGGTAAGGACTTGAGAGCCCTCTCTGGCTGTGACGCTGAGACCCAGGCCCAGCAGTGGTGAGAGCCGGGTGAACTCTGACCCGCTCTCACCTGCTGCATGGCTGTGGGCGTGCGACCCCCGTGTTCCCTGTACCATGAGGACTGGCGTCAGCATGCTCCCTGGCAGGGCTGTGCTATGCAAATAGGCCCTGTGGCCATCGCGGTGGAGTAAGCACAGGTGGGTCACCACAGAACAGCAGGTCTCTCTGGGGGGTGCTCAGCAGCCCCTTGCCCATCCCCTCTCACCACTCCCATGTCTAAGTGACCACCCTTCCCAAGCACCTACCGTGGACAGACGCTGGTGGTCACCAGGGACCCAGACATGACCCAGACTCTCCCCGCCCCTGAGATGCTTCGGCTCCTTCTGACTGTGGCACGCAGTAAGGTCGAGACCCCAGCCCAAGCCAGCTGACCGTGCTCAGAGCTGAGATCTGCCACTCTGACGAAGCCCTCAGGGCCTCCGTGAGATGACAGCAGTGCCCACATCCCACGGCTGGGTGGAGGAGACCACGGTGCCTGACGCAGTGTAAGGACCAGCCTGCCCACCAGGACCACCCTCTTCTCATAATGAGTCCACGCGCCCCCAGCCTGGCTCCCCTCTCACCCTTAGGCCTCTCCACACCCAGTGGGCCCTGCCAAGCTGGCTACTTCTGTGCAGAAGGAGCAGTGTCCCCAGCTCCACGGGACGGACTGACAGGGGCCCCCTGCCCCCCAGGAACCTTCTGTCGTGAGTGTCTCCTTGGGCCCCACTCTCAGCCCCACTCACTGTCCCGTCCTGGGGCTGCTGACACCCTTTTCCTCAGTGTGTGTCTGGACCCTGGGGCTGTTGGAAGGAAGCCAGAGGGAAAAGAGTTGCCCGAGGCGGTCCAGCCCGAGGCTGAGAAGGGTGACAGAGGCGTGGTTAAAACACACTCAGGATGCTTCCTGTGGTTTGGGTTGTATGGTGTGGACAGCTGAGAGCCAATGGCAGTGGCCTTGTCATATGGGGAGCCTCCTTAGCTCCCAGTGGTCTGAACCCTGATGATGCTCCTCCAGCTACAGGTGGAGGGTCTGGGGTCTCTCCATATGTTGCAGAGGGACCGAGAGCCAGGCCTCAGAGAGGCTGGGCAGAGGTGGGTCTTACAGGTGACGCCACGCTGGGCCCGCCCCCTCTCTGAGACTGAGTCCCTGCCTGCTGCTGTGAGGAGCCGCTCCCCATCCCTGAGGCCTCCTCTCAACCAGGCTGCGCTGCCTCCCTGTGCCTGCAGCTGCAGCATCACCCAGGCCTGTGCGGTGTCCTGCCGGCACCTTCTCCAGCTTCCCAGAGCAGACGGTGCCCTCTGCGTGCCAGGCCTGCCCGCGCGGCTTCTACTGCAAGGAGCCTGGTCTCCAGGCCCCCTGCTGGCAGTGCCCAGCAGGTGAGAGGCAGCAAAGACCTGGGGGTGCGGACAAAGGGGACATGGCTAGGGGCAGTGCTGGAGGTCCTGGGCTCTACAGCATGGCCTCAGAAGGCCCTCATGGCAGAGGCCCCAGCAGGACTAACCGTCTTGGGGAGGCGAGCACCCCCCTGAGCGTGCCTCACTTCTGGCCAGTTTATTACTGCGACTCCAGTGCTGGGCCTGTCCAGAACTTCAGCCTGTACCCTTGTCCTCAAGGCTATTACTGCCCCCTGGGCACAGCCGTGGCCACACACCCCAGCTGCCCAGTGGGCACTTACGGCCCTCGGAAGGGGCTGAGGAGCATCACTGAGTGCCTGCTGTGCCCCGCTGGGAAGTTCTGTGCGCTGGCAGGGCTCGCAGCGCCCACAGGTGTGTCTGGGGCAGAAAAGGCCTTAGGCAGTGGGTGGGGACTCCTCTGGAGGGTCTTTAGCGTCTCTGCACCCCCATTAACTGGTTTGGGTAGGGGAAAGAAGGAGGATGTTACTTTCTTGGGGTGTTTGGGCGGCTCTGGTATGAAATGGCTGGAAATGGTTTGATCTGTAAGGAAAATCCAGGCTTGGCAGTTGACAGTCTCAGAGGAGGACAAACCCCAAACTGGCCCAGACCCCACACCCGCTCTGACCCTGGAGCTTGGTACTGACTGAACCTGGAGGAGGGCATCCCATGGCCCGGGGCTGCTCGAGCTGGCTTCGGGCCAGGGACCCCTGCAGTGTGTCGTGAGGGACAGGGGTGCAGGGAAGCGTGAGCACCTGGTGCCTCGTGCTGTACTCTCTGGTGAGGGGCACGGCGGGGTGGCTGACAAGATGTCCTCTGTCCTAGGAGACTGTGCTGCAGGGCACTGGTGCAAGGGAGGAGCCACCAGCAAGGACCCCGCTGATGGGGCACGAGGCCTCCTCTGCCCTGCTGGGCACTACTGCCTCGAGGGTACCTCACCACCTCTGGGGCCCCTCCAGTCATGGCAGGGTGGAATAGGGTCGACTTTCTTCCAGCCCTCTGCTGGTTGAAGACAGGTCTCCAGGGCTTTGAGCCTTTCTCCCAGCACAGACCACAGTGGCCCAAAGTGACAGGCAGTGCTGAGCCCTGCAGGGATGAACAGAGGACCCTTCCCTCCCCCAGCACCCCCTCCTCCTGGGACGCCCTCCCCGCACTGCTCAGCAGTCCTCACCCTTCCCTCCCCCAGCCTGGACTTCGGGGACCTCACCTGAGCAACTGGCCTTCCTCCCTTGCCCCTCAGGCCTTGGTCCCTCCACACCAAGGATGCTTTTCAGGCCTGCTCACTCCTCCCCCACCTTGGGCCTCCCTTGCAGGATTGCAAGCGTCTTTCATTGATTCAGTGAAGTTGACCCAAGGACTCCAAAGCTGACCCACTCCCTTCCCTCTGGAAGCCAAGAGGGGAAAGCATTTCCACCCTGGTCTGCTGGGAGGGAGAGATCCAGGGGATGGGAGCCCAGCACAGTGCAGGGTCTCCCCCGGACCACTGGGAGCCAGCAAGACTGCCTGGCCTCTTTCCCTCCACTGCTCTGACTTCTGCAGGAGCTTCAGTCCCAGCCCGATGCCCACCTGGTACCTGGTCTGAGGAAGGGAACCAAACCCCAGAAGGATGTCAAGATTGCTATGGAGGACAACTCTGCTCTGGCAGCCACCCATCAATCTGGCCAGCACCCTGCCACCCAGGGTGAGCAAACAGTTTGTCTCCTCTAAGAGACAGGGAACAGTGTCCACAGAGTAAGGAGTTGGCTCTACCCCAGGGTCTGGACCTGGGCAGAGAGCACGGGGAAGGAGGAGCCATTCCTATTGGCCTGCAAGGCCTATAGGCCACTTGCGGACATGCAAAGTCAGGCCACACTGGGTGCAGCATGCTGGAACCTGGCTGCTTTGCAGATGAGGTCTGGAAGGACATCAGTGTCCAGACTTGTGGCAGTACTTCTCATCTCTGCCACCTCCCATCCCACCCTGAGCAGGGCCAGGCTGACGATCCTGGGGTCCAGCTTGGAGGGTGGGAGGCCACAAAGCGGGAGGAGTCGGGAGTGAGCAGGCTAGGAAGGGTCTCAGGCCCGTGCTTGAAGCCCGTCCACTGCACTTGGCTGCGTGTTCCTCAGTGACTCTCCTCAGCTGAGGCCCTTTTGCTTGGCCCACATTTTTCCAGCATTTCCTGCACTGAGGGAACTGTCTCTGCCACCACCATAGAAGGGGTCTCTGGGAGATCCTGCCCCCCAGGGCCCTTCAGCCCTCTGGGCATGGTTGAGCCCACTCCATGTCCTCCTGGCTCCTACACCTCCAGTACCCACACAACGAAATGTCACATCTGTCCCAATAGCCGCTACTGTGTTCCAGGGCTGAGGCCACAGCTGTGTCCAAGAGGTTAGTGTCCTGCCAGCGGCCTGGCTCACTAAGCAAAGGAGCCAAAGCAAAAAGGGGGAGTGGGGGCAGTCACCTGCAAGGCAGTTATCTCCCCCGCTTCCCTTAAAGGCCCTGGCTGTATATTCTGATAATAAGGTGGCAACCCCTCCATTTAAGGAGCTTTACCTTTCCTGGGCAGGAGCCCTCACTGCGCAGAGGCCAGGCCTCCATGCCGGGCCCCCAGGGCTCAGAGTCTTCCCTTCTCCAGCCTCCTTCCAGCTTCCTCCTCAGGCCCTAGTCTCAGCCTTGCTCCCTTCACAGGTTTCTACTGCCCTGAAGGGACAGGGCTCAATTGGCAGCCCTGCCCCCTGGGCACCTAAGGCCCAGTGCCCGGACTGGGCAGCCTGCCGGGATGTGGAGTCTGTGACGGAGGCAGGTTCTGCCCCAGGGCCAGTGCCACGGAGGCGGGCAGACAGTGCTGGGAGGGCTTCTTCTGCTCCAGAGGGTCCACCCGGCCCAACCCGGAGGCTGGCACTGAAGGTACTGGACCCTCCCCACTGAACCCTGAGCCCCTACCCCATTTCCTGAGCCGCCAAACTGGGAAGCAGAGGCCAGATTCAGGGGCTCTCCACCCACTCACTGGTCAACCCACAGAGACTAATGAGTCTGTTCTCTCCGAGAAGCCTGAAGAAACTCTCCTGGGCCACCCATGTTCCTTCATGGTGGGCAGAACACCGTGGCCCAGCAAGTGACAGTGCTCTGGCATTTGTCTCCTCCACCCACTGTCCACCCCGGGCGGGACACCCAAAGGATCCCTATATCCCACATGGGCCAGGCTGAGGGCAACACCAGGCAGCCTGAGGAAGCTCGCCTTAGGGGTCGTGGTGAAGTGATCAGGGGCCTAGTACATACTCATTCTGGGGTGAGGCGAGGGATAGGCCATCAAATCAGAGTATGTGGCGTGGGGACCAGCAAGATACGGTCAATTTGCTAATTTTCCCAAGTGCATGTGTAGTTGAGGGATCATTCTGGTGGTTTTAATCTTCTGGGGTCAAGTCCCCTTTGAAATGCGGGGACTGAAGGACGAAATTCCATGGTCCAGTCCAACCCCTGTCTTTGGCAGAAGGGAAAACTGAGGCTCAGGAAGAAGGTTTGCTTTACCTAAGGGCACACAGTCAGTAGCCAAGTTGGACGCCCAGCCCACTGACCCTGGTCCAGCTTCCTGCCACTCTGCAGCTGCCCTTGGGCCCTAAGGGTGCCACCAGCCTCAGGGAGGCCTGAGCACTGGTGAGGACACCGATGTACAGCTCATCCCCTAGCTTCTGACCCACCAATGGCCTGGTCTGCTCAGCCACAGCCCAGAACCCCTGATTCCCATGCTCGGTCACCAAGCGGCCCTGGTGGCAGGCCTCTTGGAGCAGGGCCCATGCAGCGTGAGGGAGAGAAGGAATGAAGACACAGCTGGGTGTCTCCAGAAACTAGAACAATGTGAAAACACAAGCCAGAGCAGGCAGGTCTGCAAAGCCCTCTGCAGCAGGAGCCAAAACGGGTAGTCGTCCAGCCAAGCCCCTGACTCAGTCTCAGACACTGTCCATCCCTAGACCCCAGGGCTTGAGCCTTCTAAGAAGGCCCTGCCTCCCTCAGGCGTCCCTTCCTGACCCCACTGCCCTATGTCAAGAAGAGCGTCGCCTGACCTCTTGCCAATGGTAACAGCCACGTGGGCTGTGGGGGAGGGCAGGTGCAGAGGGTGTGGCCTACAGGAGGGACCCTTCCCAGGTGGGCCATGAGAATCAGCAGCCCCATTATTCCAGGGCCCACAGCCTGTGCCAGCGATGCAGGGGGAGCTGTCCGGGCATCCACTGCTCACCCTGCACTTCCCGGGGGCCAGGCTGACTTGTCTCTCTGTTCCAGAGGGGACTGGCCCATGTCCTCAAGGACACTACTGCCCCAGGGGCTCAGCTGTGCCCCAGCCTTGCCCACCTGGCACCTTCGGCTCACGCGCCAAGCTCAGTTCAGAGGTAAGGGGACCCCAGCATGGGGAGGAGGCTGGGTGTGGGGAGGGCCATGTTTGAATCTAGCCAAACAGCACTGCCCCTGAGGTCAAAGGTTGTCATGGAGATTGGAGAACACGGCCACCTGACCAGCTGCCTCCCTTCCCCCAGGTGTTTACTCAAAAGTCACTTTCCAAGGAGGGCTTTCCCTGGCCCTCCTTAGCACTTATCACAGACTAGTATCCCGTTTATTTGCTGCCCTTACTGATTTTCTGTATTCTCCACGGAAACAGAGGCCCTCAAAGCTGGGGAGCTATCTGCAGGCTCACTGCTCTGCAGTCAGAGTCCTGCCTGGCACGTGGCAGCCTCCCAGCACGTGTCTGCTGGATGCAAGCATAACTAGGACAAGCTAATTTTGGAAACTCGGAGGGAACAGCAAGCCCCCCGTGGGGACTGCAGGGAGTGCAGCGAGGGAGCTGGGTGAGGGTGGGCCAGAGGAGGCTGGGAGGGAGCAGAGGGCCAGCTCTGCAGCACCTGTGCCCACCATGAGGCGTGAGCTGCTGCCTGAGTGAGATGGAAGCCAAAGGACGGTTTGAGCTGAGGAATGACATGGGACATTACTTTCAATATACGTTAATAAATAATTTATAAATGGCCACTATAGGATGCACAAAATTCTGTTTAAATTGCCAGGTTCCAAAAACAAATTTAATGTCTAGTTCAATTCATGAACTCCTCCAAATTATGGTTTGTACTACCCTTATCAGAGGGCCTCCTGCTGTTAGAAGGATGTTCCCCGGAACTCCTGGCTTGTCAAAGGCCCCAGGAATCCCAGTTCTCTGGAGCGTGCAGTCCCCCTTGCCCGAATCAGCAGAAAGTGTTTCCCTGGAAGTGAAGCAGGAGAAGAGATTCCCCTGGTGTTACTAGTCAAACCACAAAAGAGCATGGAAGTAACAAGCAGAAGAGAAAGCCAGCAGAATGACACTCTGCTGGAACAGTCTGGAGGGACAGATCCTGGAGGGCACGCCGGCTGGAGAACGCCAGCAGAGCAGCCGGATGCCTGTCAGGGGCCTTGTAGGTGGAGGGAGGTGGGCTAGGACAAGAAGCTCTGATCTGAGGCCCCTTTCAGTCCTCCTGGTGTGGCCCCTCCCTCCCTGTCCCACAGGATTCCTGCTCCCCATGCCCGCCGGGCCACTACTGCAGCTCTGCTGGCCTTGCCAGCCCTCCTGGACTCTGCAGCACAGGTTTCTTCTGCCTCAGTGGGGCGCTCGTCCCCAACGGCTCCCTGGGAGACCAGGCCGGTGGCCCCTGCCCCACAGGTACCCCGGTGGCTGGCCTGCGAGGAGCTGGGGAGGTGGGGAACGAGCAGACTCCAAGGCTGCCACCCAGACAGGGGCCGAGGGCCATCAGGAGGCTGCCAGCAGTCCCCTGGGCCCTCCAGGAACTGAGTTTAGGATGGGGCCACTCTAAGCGCCAAAGAGTAGGACTTCTTTTGGCCCTGACCTGTGGCTCTGCTTTCCTTTCAGGACACTTCTGCCCCCCAGGCACTGCTGTCCCCAGGCCCTGCCTGGCAGGCACCCACAACGGCCTAGCTGCCCGAGGCCACTGTGAGCCTTGTCCAGAGGGGTGAGTGCAGAGAGGCCTTCCACGGCCCCACGTGTCCAGCTGGGCACACGGTTTGCATTCCTGCACAGGAGGTGGCTGGAGCAGATCTCGCTGAGATTCCTTTCTGCCTGAGTATTCTGTGACTTCAAGAAGACACAGAAGAACTTCCATGACTTCTAGCTAGCTTGCTTTACGTCTCTTGATCTCTTCGTTGTGCATCACTGAGTCATTCCTAATTTCAGACCTGGGTCTCTTTTGCTTCAGTTTAAGCCAGTCAGCCTCCCCTTGAGTGCCTTGAGCTGGAGCAGAGCTGTGCCCAGCCAAGCGATTGTTCCTGCGGTCTGTGGGGAGGCCAGCCCAGGAAGCCATCTCCACACACCCCAGGCCATTGGGTCACACAGCCCTCTGAGCTCCCCCCTCCTCGTCCTGTCTGTAGTTTCTTCTGCCCAGCAAATACCTCCTCTGTGGTGGGGAACGAGTGTCCAGCCGGCCATTACTGCCCTGCCTCCACCTCCTCTGCTTCTCAGTTCCCGTGCCCCAGGGGCACCTACAAGCCACAGGGAGGCGGTGTCCAGCAGTCAGACTGCATCGTCTGCGAGCCAGGTAAGGGGGCAGGGACACCCCCACCCCAGACACATTAGGCCACATCCTCCCTGGCCAGCGAGGGCAAGACTCAGGCCTGGCTCAGAGGGGAACCCTTTTCCTCAGCCCACAGCGCACATTAGATCAGCCCGCGTTTACTGGCTGGGGTGCCAGGCCAGAGGGAGGGATGAGACTCAATCCCTCTGCCCCCAGCCCCAGGGATCCTGTCTTCCCCTCCCCCATACAGGCTCCCACTGTCTCTTGCCTGGGCTGGTGGCCGTGTCTGGGCCCTGCCATGCCGGGTTCCACTGCACTCAGGGAGCATCTGTCCCAAATCCCACTGACGGGATCACAGGAGACCTCTGTCCTCTGGGCCACTTCTGTCCCCAGGGTAGCCCCAGGCCCACTCCCTGCCCCCCAGGTGAGTCACCGATTCGTGAGCCCCAGCAATGCAGGGGTCTGCTCTGCACCCTTGAGGAGGAAAAGGAGTGGAGGTCCAGCCTGGAGAAGGACCCAGAGGAAACCCCTGCATTGGACTTAGAGAGTGACATCCGTCCTGCCCCGATGCAGCAAGGGGCGTGGGTGGAGGGCTGAGGGCGTTTAGAGCTATGACCAGGCCCCCGGGGGAAGCTTGACCAGGGAGGGGTGGAGGGAAGAGGCACAGTGGGAAGGGAGTGATGCCTGGCAGTGGAAATGGGGCATGGGATGCCCCTCACCTGTGTCAGCTGAGCCCGGCTCTGGCTCCCCAGGTAGAAGGTGGGCTCGGGAGGCAGGGGGCCTTGCAGTCGCTGGGCCCTGAGCCTGAGCAGGCAGAGCAGGATCATGGCTCTGCCCTCTGAGACGGGCCACTGCGGGGCTTCAGCTGGGAGGCCTCCTGGCGGTGGCCACAATGTGTGGACATACAGGGTCTCTCCTGCCCGTCCCCGGGGCCACATCACTGGAGGACGGCCAGCCATGCCCGGCTGGCTGGTTCTGCTCCCAGGCTGGCCTGAGCTCCCCGGAGGCCCCGTGTGAAGAAGGCTGGTTCTGCCCCAGGGCTTCTGTCTCCGGGCACGGTCCAGGTGAGGGCAGACCCTCCTCACCTTGTGGGAGGGGTGGGTGCTGTGGGACCTGCAGGGGACCAGCCTGGAAGGGAAACCCAGGCCGTGGGCTCTCCCTCTGCCCTCAGGCTCCCGTGCCTAACAGCAGTGAGACGAGCCTCGTGACCTGGGGCCTGCTGAGGAGGGGCCGCAAGCCTGTGCGTTAGCAAGGCTCCCCGTGCACCCAAAGCTCAGACAGGGAGAGGAGAGAGGCTCAGGATGAGAGGAAGGGAAGAAACGAGAAGCATTGAAACAAAAGCAATCATCAAAGATGGTGAATCCTGTGCTCTGGGGGAAGGAATACAGGTTCCCAAGGGCCAGGACCCTCTTGTGAGGGAGCAGGAAGGGTCTTCACCCCTCATGCGAGACCCTGGGCCTGGCAGAAAAGGGAGAGGTCAGACCCAAGGACAAGGTCCTAGCAGAGCCGGCACAATTCCATCTTCTGCGGCCTCAGTCCTCAACAGGTTGGTTGTAATCAGTTTTGAGATGCTATAAGTAATTATAATAAAGTGTCAGGGACCACTGGGCACTGGGGAAAGCTGCCCTGAGGGGACTCTCCCTCTGATACTGAGGCTCTCGAGAGGGTCCCCCTACCTCCCTGCCTGGAAGCTCTGGTCTCAGCGTGGAACAGCCCCAACCTTAGAACACAGTTGATCTAGGACAGCAACTCCAAAAAAATTCATTAGAAGTATTCCAGGAAATAAAGTTGGTATATAAAAGCGTAGAAACTGTTCCATTCCCCAGAATATGGACACAAAGTACAGGTTTCTGACACTGCCCCGTCCCTTCCCAGGGTCCACCTCCTAAATATGCTCCACTGCCACCCAGCTTCTTGTGGCTTCATCAGCCGCGGGCCCTGGGAAGCCGGGTCCGTGAGCCGAGACAGGCTCCCTCCCGCTGGCCAGTCCAGTGCTCCATGTGATGAAGAGCACAGGGGGCCCCCGGGCTAGCGCACACAGCATTTCCCAAACTTACCTGCCCAAAGAAGCTGTGGTTTGAGGAACATCTCGTAGGACGAGGACCCCTGGGAACACCTTTGGTGACAGATGTTCTGGCCTGGAAGCCCGGGGCTGCCTTGTGTACCCAGTGAGGCTCCCAGCTCCGACCCCAGCCTGTGGAGCACACCGCCCCAGCACCCGCTCGGCCCAGTCACTACGGACCTGGCCCCTTCCCATCCAGGCCGTGAGGTTCCCACGCCACCCTCCTACACAGGGCCGGTTGTCAGCTGGAGCTGTCTCCCCTCCCGGTGCCCGCAGGACCAAGGTGTCAGGAACCAGGCCTGGGAGTGTCATGCATCACGGGCACCACAAATCACACACCCACCCGCTCAGCGCCTACGTGGAGGGAGTAAGAAGTGGTTGTTCTGGGCTCTGGCTGGAAGGACATGGGGAATCTTCCAAGAGGAAATACCTGTCTCCCTCAGCTTTTCTAGGCACGCTCTGCCCTGTTGGGCACTCCTGTCCCCCAGGCAGCCCGGAGCCCCAGCTCTGCCCCCCAGGGCAGTATCAGGATGAACCTGGACAGAGTGTCTGCAAGACGTGCCCCGCTGGAAAGTGAGGACCTGTCGCTGGCGGGGGCCTCCTCTTCTCTTGGCGTGACACTGGGCTTTCCTGCTCTCCCTGCAGCCGGGGCTCAGATATGCTGCAGGGACCAGCGACCACGGCCCCGTCACCCTAGAGAGCCCCTTGTAATAAGCACTCCACTGTCCATACAGGGGCCTTAGGGGGCTGTAGGCTTTGTGCAAAAGTGTCAATGAGACAGGAGGCCATTGTCCACCTTAACGTTCACTTCCTCTGACCTCAGATGGCCCTGTGGGGTTTTGCTTCTGCCCAAATCCTCCAGGTCCCCAGAGCTTCCTTCCTCTGGAGAAGCCTCACTTCTTAGAAGGTCTGAGGATATGGGAGGCGTCGACTCTTTCACTCCTGACCACCAACTGGCTGTGTCCACAGGTTCTGTCCCTTCGGGATCTAGGGACCAGGAGGCAGGACTGTTTGGCCAGTGGACTGTCCTGCTGGCTACTACTGTCCTCTGGGTACCCAGACACCCACCCAGCACCCGTGCCCCAGGGGCACCTTCCGAGAGAGGCCCGGGGCACGCAGCACCAAGGATTGCAGGCCCTGTCCCGCAGGGCAATTCTGCTCAGATTCAGGTGACAAGAGCCATCTCTCTGGGACTTTGCAGGGTCCCTGATTGAACCCCTTGTCGCAGACATACTTAGCCTGCCTGCAGGTGGACACCCTGGGTTCCCTTGCATCCCATAAGACCTGCAGCCCCACATAGGGAGCACTACTTGAGCCTGGGCCTGGGGATGGGAGGAGGAGGCAAAGGTGACCTGCTCTGATCCCCGAGAGGTCACAGTGGGGAAGGGAAGGATAGGGACAGATGAGAGCATGAATGCCCCCACCCAGGCACACACTGGTCTCCTCAGACAGGTGCTCTGGGTGTCCTGGGGAGGGCATGTTGACCCCCGGGCAGAGGGTGTGTGGAGCACAGCACCAGGCTTTGAAGGTGATGCTGGACTTTGGCAGTGGGCTGAGAGCAGGCGGGTGCAGCCTTGTTCAGGAAGCAGGCCTCCGCCCAGAGCAGCTGGGGCAGGACCTCAGGGAGATCCCACCATGACTGAGCCCAAGGCTGAGCGAGTGGACGTAGCAGTAACCGCATTGGTGAGAGTGTGGTGTGCATTTGTCCATTTTAGTTGTCTACTCCATTTATAAGTCACCTAGAACAAGACACAGCTGGGCAGTAAGCAGACCACTGCCAGATGCTGGGAAGCAGAGGAAGGGAGATGTGAGCTCCCTCACATGGTCCTCAGGCCCCCAGGGGTCCCAAGTGTGTCTCCCCAGAGTAAGGCTGGGGATGTGAGGCGTCGGCCCATCACCTGCAGCCAGGGCGGCAGAGCCCTGCACACCCTCAGTACCACAGCCGGGCCTGTATTTCTAGGATCCTAAGTCAGCACTCTCGCACCCTGGCTCTGCTTGACCCCATTGGATGTGACCAAACAAGCCTTTTAACTCATTTATCCTCGCAACCAGGCTACTATTTTACAGATGAAAAGCCTGAGTTCAGAGAGGTCCTCTGCACAGCTGCATAGGTAGTGAGCAGCAGAGCCAGGAGAGGACACACAGTTTGGCTCCAAAGACTTGAGCTCCTTGGCACACTGCAGCTCCAAGCTCAGGAGCAGCTCAAGACACTCTTCCAGGTCCCTTTTCTCCTTTTCCTTCTAATCTGAAACCAGGCCCGCTGTGGTGAACTAAGCCTGTCTCCATCCCATCTCCACAGGGGCTGGGAAACGCTTCCCGGACGGGCCATGCTCAGCAGGTTATTACTGCACCCCTGGCCAGACCTCAGCCACCCCTATATCTTTCCGGTGCCCCCGTGGCTTCTACTGTTCCGAGGGATCTCCCCAGCCAAGGGCCTGTGAGAACGGAACATTTCAGCCCCAGGAAGCAAAGGGCTCCTGTGAGCCCTGCCCCACAGGATTCTACTGTGACGCCTCTGGCAAAGGTGGGCTCACTGGGGCTGAACTGAAGGCCCCCACAGGGTGCTGGGTGCCTGGCAAGGTGCCAGAAGTGGGAGCACTAGCTCTCCATGAGCCCCTGCAGAAGCGACGCCTCCTCGCCGACCGGGAGGTCCCCTGCCTTGTTAGAGAGAGGGAGGGACAAACCTGAGGTGGCAGAGTGCGTCAGCTCAGGGCCACACGAGACCCCTGGGGTCCTTCCCTTTAGTTTTGGCTTTAGAATGTATCTCGGGAATTCTTCTGCCAGAAGCTTGGTTGTCATAGTCATACAGGTCAGCGCTATGAACCACAGGTAGCCCTTGTGACTAACAGCAGAGCAGAGGGAGGTGGGCCCTGAAATAGGCCAGGTTTGAGGGAAGGGCTTGTCAGGGACTTAAACCAGGACAGGGCATTGCATGATGACCCATCAGGACACCCTGTGTCCAGCCTGGTTCTGGGCAC